CCCCCTAAGTATGAATGTAAAAATAAGGATATGGAATGCTTTGTGTACTTGGTTGCTTGTGCACTTGACAATTTTGGGGAAGATTAAGGAGGTCTGTGTCGCTCTCGGGCGCTGGCAGACACCCAGCAGGGGCAGAAGAATAGAGGGAAAATGATCAAAATGGAATGGAAGCGGAGGTATGGGAGCTTCAGTGGGTTTAAACTGTGTGAACATTGGAGGAGTGCAGTTCGTGTTAGGTTCCTCTCCCAAACCTCAAATAATTACATTATCTCCATTTATTACAACTGCCAATGCAGCAGCATGGCATTTCTCTGCATATTTTTCTTAAAGAGCCCATGGCATTCTTTTCCGTGTTTTTTGACTTATTTACCATGTTACAACGATGAATTATCATCCTAGATGTGACCTAAAAAAATGAGGTGTACGTATGTTCTAGTATTTCTATGCAGAAGCAACTGTGCTTATATACATCTAACAAACTCTGGCTGGCGAGACTTTTTTTGTAAAAAAAAAAACATAAAGTGTAAAGTAATATGTGATAGTTTAAGGATTTCCTTGAATGGGCACAAATTCAGGCCGCTGCGTGTTCATGTGAGCTTGCCTGACATCCCTCGGTGCTATTGTAAAAGTGGAATTTTTTGACAGTTCACAGTTTTGTGGATATATTTTACCTCCTACTGCTGCATTGTGACCAGAGGATGTGGACAGAAATACAGGGCCTGAGGTTACTGCATGTCCGGGAATGTTCCTGTACAGGGACTCACTGTTTTACCTGAGCAGGTCTAACCTACAAGCAGCCGGACTGTGAAGACCCCGGTGGCAGTGACTGATCAGCTCATTAATGCTGGATTCCCCTGAGTACAGTACCGGTTTGTTTTGACTGCTTGAGGCCAGTGTGTCTGTTCGGGCAGATCTGTCTGCTTCTATTTTTGTTTTTATTTTTCATTCATTACCCAGTGACCAAGTGACTTCATTGTGCTGTTTAGCTGACTGTATAGACACTGATGTTTCACATTTTCTGGAAAAAAGCATGCCTGCCTCTGTTGTAAAGTTAGTCTTGGGAAGACTGAAGTAAAGGGGTACAAGTATGTTGAGAACAGTGAGAATCCACAGTTATACTAAAAGTACTATGTATCTACTCATGCGTGTTGCTACTTGTACTGTCATGTAATTGTTGCTTTTAAGTAATATTTACAGTTTTTCCAAATTTGCTTTCTAATGTTTTATCTATATATGCGTTAATTCATCTGTGTGCATTGTGTTAAGTACTGTGCACCTCTGAATCACCTGGGAAGTGTTTGTTGTATCCAGACGTTGTTGGGCAGCAGGTTTCATCATGCAGGAAGCCGCGGACATCTGTCCCAGTCTCTATCTTCCACCTGACTGAACTCAAACCATGGCCTATATCTATATGCTGCTGTGTGCATGTATCACTTTTATGATCAGTTGTTTGGCAAAGAGGCGACTGTGTGTCTTTCAGCCAGCAGTCTGATGGAGTGGAACAAATTAAGTTATTCCACCTATATTCACTCACAGTTCATACAAAGAGGAGGAAGCGATTTCTTGCATGGTGTGTAAATAGTGTTACTGACTCTCACTCAGGAAACCAAGTCAAGAGGTAGGTGAACTAGATGTACTGTTTACTGACCCAAATACAGCTTGTGAATCTGTCATATGTAAGCTCTAAAATCAAATCAAATCAAATCAAATTTTATTTGTATAGCGCCAAATCACAACAAAAGTCATCTCAGGACACTTTACAAAGTAAGGTCTAGACCTTACTGTTATCAATATTATTACAGAGGGAAAACCCAACAAATCCCCCTTGAGCAAGCACTTGGCGACAGTGGGGAGGAAAAACTCCCTTTAAAGGAAGAAACCTCCGACAGACCCCGGCTCTTGGTGGGCGGCCTTCTGCCTCGACCGGTTGGGGTGAGTGGATAGAGGAGAGACAAAAGAAGAAAAGCAACAAGACACAACAATCAAACACTGATCAGGTCGATGTGGCTGGTGACTGCTCGTCAGAGACGTAGAGCT